TGGATTCATGTCCTTAAACCTCGATATCTGGTATTCTTCGGCTTTGTTCACAAGTTTAGGCCATTTGGCGTCAGTCGTGGGAACACTTCATATCACAAATAATAACAATTAAAAGTTGTCTACATTTTAAACAATCAATTAATTTATACCCAGTTTTAGCAAAATTAGTCCAATAAGTCATCCATTCCTTACTGAATGGTAGGTCAAGTTGAGGGTTGGAGTGAGTCTTGTTGAACACAAACTCAATGTCAGATCCATGGCATATACCCATTGTCTGCTCATCACATCCCTGCAAATGTCCATAAGTGAGTTCATAAAAGTAGACATTCCTTGTGGTCGAGTGTTGGGCCACTTGTTTGGCAAACAGATATGTACTGCACTTAATACCGGAATCACCGATCAGGTCATAGTATGCCCACCGATAGGCCGCGTAGTCATCCTTTTTGACATCTTTGAGATAATAGGCCAACACTTGACCCAAATCCATGTCACCGATGCGTCCTTTGATGGCATTAATGAATACCTCTTCAGTGATATTGCCTTTGATTTTTGGCGCCAGAAGTGAGCCCTCATTACGGACTACACCAGCGATCAAATCCACGTCTGGACACAATTACATAGTTTTTAAATTTGATCAGATGTAATGGTCGATACAATCAATTTCTTAAATGGCGATTTCACAGACACTGACCTGTATTATACTTTCCATCTTTGAACGCCTCCTGTGCCGTGAGTGGCATATAGGCGGTGCCCACGAGGGGACCTACAGTTAGCTGAGTGTAACCGAAGATCTCATTCGCGTCAACCTTTCGCAGGCAGTCTAACCACGTCTTATCGTCCGTACACTTGAAATGTTTGCCCATTTCCTTGGCCTCGGCTAATGCCTTGGCTTTGGTATGTATTTCCTTACGGTTCTGAAGCTGAGCGCCAGACTCTAGTATAGCCCTCGCGAACAGCCCTTTCGCCAGTGGAGATAATACCAGAGCCGATACTGATATACTACCGGCGCTCTCACCGAATATCGTTATCTTATCCTTATCTCCAC